AGTTTATGAGCTTTTTTTTTCCCCAGGTCACATCGATCATGGTGGCCTAACTCTAGACCTGCTCTCAGCGATGTCTCCGGTATCACTTACTCTCTGAAGACCTGCATTTACCAGGAGGCACTGTACTGGGCACCAGGGAACAGCAGGAACGAGGCCCTTCTCCATCTCCAGTAAGAGACAAGACCATTGGCTGGATGTGGATGTAAAAGAGGCAAGCATCAAGGTGATTCGATTCCCTCCTGTAGGCATCAGAGGCCTCTGCTGATGGCGCACATCAGAGAGGGCTCATCTGTGCTGGGGAGAAGGTTGACCTCTGGCCACAGTGGGAATCTTCCAAATGTCAAGCATGGGAGGCACAGCTCTGCCCTCTTCAGCATTACTAGAAGGAAACTGGAAAAGGCCCAGGCATGGTCTGGCTGTTGTAGATTGTGGCTCTGAAGATATTTAGTCTGGTGACTGATTGGCTCGGGGCAGGGTGGAGAGGACAGGGGGGAGGTGATGCTTACTTTCTCGGTTTGAGCTCCTGAGAGGCTGGTGGGTTTCTTGAAAAGGTGGAGTTCATGTGGAAAACTGACATGCAGAGTTTAAGATGCCATGCCTGCCTCCCACATCCCTCTTCCCACTCTTGTCACCCCCAAAAGGCAGCACCCTATACTTCCCCACTGAGAATCATAGAAAATAAGACCTGACAGACTGTATTAGTCAGAATTCTCCGGAGGAACAGAACTTATAAAATGAATATACATATAATACTACATTATATACATATATTAGATAAAATATAGTATTATGTTATTATATGTGCATTATATGTGTATATTATGTATGGGATTTATTAGAATGGCTTACAGACTGTGGTCCAGCTGGCACAACAATGGCTGTCTACCTACTGAAGGTCAAAGAACCCAGTGTTGTTCAGTCCAGGAGGATGGATGTCTTAGCTGGCCTATAGTGGAATCCCACAGAAGTAGGCTCTAATGCCAGTAAAAGAATGGACTTGCCAGTGAGAGTGAGAGCAACAGCAAGTAGGCAGAGAGAGAGAGAGAGAGCTTCCTTCTTCCATGTCATTTATGTGGGCCACCAGCAGAAGGTGCAGTTTAGATTAAAGGTGGATCTTCCCACTTCGGGAGACCCAGAATCAGGGTGTGTCTCCCTACTTCAAATGATTTAATTAAGAAAAAAAAAACAAAAAACAAAAAACAAAAAAAACCCAAAAAAACAAAACAAAACAAAACAAAAAAATCCTCACTGTTGTATCCAGTGGCTTGGGTTTCAGTTAATTCCAGATGTAGTTGACAACAGCCATCACAACTCCACCCCCTGTCAAGCTGACACACCATCACATCCTATGTCATACTTAATTTCCAAACGAAACAATAGCCAGGTCATAATCACACCTAACATGATACAACTACTGCATTTACAACAGAATGCATTGTATGTTTAATGCACTAGAATGTTGTATTGTACCTAACATGATATACTATTCCCCACAGAGCAGCAAACACATTATAAATTTTAGAATGGAAGTCATTCTAAATGTCATAGAGGGACATTCTTCTAGTATCTTAAATTTAAATATGATAACCACTGGTATTCTCTTAATTGACAGTACATTACATGCTAAAGGAACAGAGGAGAGAAAACACAAGTATCTTCATAAATGCATTCTTAAAAAAGTATGACAAAATACTCATGTCAATTATAATCCTTATTTCTGCAGCTAGTCATGTGGCCTTAGCTGGAATGTATAATTACCTTCTTCTACTACCCATTCTGTATTTCCTTCACCTTCAGTTATCACCTCAGCAGGTCTTGAATTTTTTTTTTTTTTTTTTTTTTTTCCTGGAGGAGTGACCCATAGCTTCATTCCCAAAGGGTCTGTGCCCTTTGTCTCCCTGCCTGGGTTAGGCTGTTGTAGTTTCCCACTGACTTTAATCACAGGGCACAGTAGCACCAAGGGACATGCTAAAGGATCTCCGCCCTCCAGACATAATCTTTCCTTCCTCCAACTGTGAAGAAGCAAACCATTCTCTCCAAAGTAATCTGGATCAGTCACCTCTCCTGACACGTTATTCCTGTTAGCGGAAGGGCATCAGAAACCCAAAGCGGCCAGGGGGAAGTCAGAGATTTCAATTGAATAGAATGTCTGCTGTGGTTCCCAGCAGGAGTGCTCCCTTCCTCTGGTAACAAAAATTTCTAGGCCAGCAGAACTCGAGATCACAGAAACAGGAAGTAAAAATTTTCCTAAGGGGTCACTAGGGTGCCGGTGAGTAGAACTAGTCCCCCTTTGCACCCTTGATTCCTGGACTTGTGGATCCTGGCTACTGGAGAAACTGTAACAGGTACGTGATGTAGAGTCAAAGCATTTTCCACCTTCCGAAGAACCCTACAGGCTTTGGCCAACTAATGAAAGTTGTAACGTTGTCTTCAAAAGGCCATTTCATCTTTTTGTCAGGCCAGCTGCTTCAGGTTGACGGGGAGCGCGGTGAGACCTCTGTGAATGTATCTGTGCAAACACATTCTTGACAAATACGACAGAAACACTCATATCAATTATAATCCTCATTTCTGCAACTGGTCACGTGGCCTTAGCTGGTATTTATAACTCCATGACCATGGGCCACATGTCTCTGGCTGTGAAGTGAGTTCCTTGGTCAGAAGCAATGCCGTGTGGAATACTATCTTGCAAATAAAGCATTCTGTAAGTCCACATGGTAGTCTTGGCAGAAGCATTACATGCAGGAAACGCAAATTCATAACCAGAATAAGTATCCACTCTCTTTTCCATGGAGAAAGTCGCCCATTGTAGTCAACCCACTGGCTGGTGGCCCCCAAGGAATGGTGCCGTATCTGGGGCTTTTAGCCTTTCTGGCACTCAGCAGCTGTAGCCATGTCAGCCTTGGTGAGCAGAAGTCCGTGTAGTTAAGCCCTTGCGTAACCGTAATCTCCATCTCTGCTGCCATGGCCACTTTGTTCATGGGTCCATTAGACAATAACGGGATGGCTGGGAAAAGAGGCTGTCTGGCCACAGAGTAGGCCATTCAGTATACTGGATTATTGATATTCTCCTCTGTTGAAGTCACCTTTGGATGAGCGTTTATATGGGACACAAATAGCTTCACATCCTTCACCCATTTGGAGAGATCTGTCCACATATGTCTTCTCCAAATGCTTTTCTCACCAGCTTTACAATCATGATCTTTCCAAGCCCCCTGATCAGGCAACTAGTCATGGCCATGGCCCATGACTGAAGAGTTGCTCATCTGGCCATTTCTCCTCCCAAACACACACACATGTGAACTGCCTGAAGGTCTGTCCACTGTGATGCGGGGAAACTTCACTGGTGCCTTTCGGGGCTGTCCCAGAGAAGGGTTATTGTAATGCTGTGCCTGTTTACTTCTGGCTGGTGCCTGTGTAACTTGCAGAACCATGAGTAAACCAGGCCCCAGCCTTTCCCCTCAGTCAACCAATCACAGGCAACACCCTATATGCTCTAAATGCATGCCCAGCAGTGGACAGTATTCCAATGGGAGTAGAAACCATAGATAGGCATTTGGGCAACTTCTCCACGTAGCTTGCTTGTGCCTTCAGGACCTGCTCAGGACAATTCATTCTTATACTCCTGTTGCTCCAGAACCACTTCTTGTGGCAACATTTCAATCAGTCAGTGTCCTCTACAGGACAAGACCTTACAGAATGAATCTAAGAGGAAAAGCCCTCGCAGGCAGACCTAGCTACTTGGGTTTTGGTTAATTCCAGATGTAGTCAAGTTGACAACCAAGAATAGCTATCATACATATTATTAAAATCATGACATCATATACCCTTCACTTTCTGCCCAAGGAAACCAAGACCCAAGTAATTTAGGTGACTTCCTCCAAGATACATAGAGTTTTAATCCCAAACACATTCCCATACAGTATACCTGTACTCAGGGCTTTCTCAGTACCATCTGAAATAGGCTCTCCATTCTTGCTTTTCACATCTCTCTCTCTCTTTCTCTCTCTCTCTCTCTCTCTCTCTCTTTGAACCCTAGGACCTGGCATACACTAGACAAGATCTCTACTATTGAGTACCCGCTTTTTACCTTCCATCATCTTAACCACTACTCCTGAAGAAGCTCTGTGCCCAGAGGACAGAAGGAATCTTTGGTCTTTGTACCAATCATATATTCATAAAAGTAAAATGAATCAGATATAACTGAAAGGTTTCAAAGCAATTAAAATTGGTCTCTAGGCAGTTTATTCGTAGGAACCCGTTTGCCCATTTTGGTTTTCCCTATGACTGTTTAAAAGAACATGAAACATTGAATTCATTATTTTTTCACCAAATGAATTCTTAAATATTCATTTTTGTTCATTATGTTTTCCTGCAAAGGTTTGGCTTCCTATTCTTTTTTGTCATATGATTTCCTAGAAAACTCCCGGGTGACAGTTTTTTAATTGTGGGAAGAATTCACTAATTTCTGTTTTATGGGGTTCCTGTGTGTGCAAACGAGTGGGTCTCTGATTCTTCTGCCTTTTCTTGAGCTCTTTTCCTTCTGTTAACTTGCCTTGTCTAACTCTGAGGTGACCTTTTTTCATGTTATCTTTTATTTTGTTATATTTTATTATCACCTCTCAGAATACTGTTAATTTCCGATGAGATACAGAAAGATAATGGATTCAGATGGCAGAGGGAATGGGGGAGAAACTGGGAGTGAGTAGAGGGAAGGGAAGCCACGATATGGTTATATTATGTGAGAAAATAATCTACTTTCAATATAAGGCAAAAAAAAATGTCCTTTAAAAGACAAAATGAAATCAGGATATTATTCTTTTGTTCATGTTCCATCTCACAGTGCTGGTTTCCTAGGAGGGTGACACTGACGACACCCATCTTCTTTTATAGTCATGTGGTGTGTGATGGTGGATGTCAGAGGGAAGACAGCATCGGGTGAGGGAAGAAAAGGCAAACCCTTGGCCCGACACCATGAAAAAGAAGCCAACAGTGCTCACCTGAGGCGGGGGTCCTTGAAGGTGTCCAGGTAGGTGGGATAGCTCCACTCCACTCTGCTTCCTTTACACCGGAGCTCTAGAGTTTGCCCTGCCATCAGACTCATGGTGGCGGCAGGCTTCTGGAAGCGACTGCCGTCCACGGCTTGCATCATGACGGACTGGCTCTTTGCCGTCGGGTCAGCGGAGTCCCTGTCCTTTATTTTAGGAGTCTTGGGCTTGGCCTTTTTGTTGGTAGGTTTGATTCTGTTTTCTCCTTGCTCCTTTGGACGCTTGTTCTTAGAAGGGTGTTGACCAGCAACTGTAAAGGTGTGAGAGGAAATCAATGAATAGCATTCCCAAAGCATAAGAAGCCCGCAGCAGGTGACTTCAATGCTTACACCTGGTTTATGCCCAAATCCTTTCCAGCCATAATTGTAAGCCATGAAGCAATCATTTTTCTTTATATAGTCTTTAGCTTTAAGGCAATAATTTAAAAAAAAAGAAGCACATTTCAGTTTCAAAGATATCATTCAAAATTTGCAAAATAGCAAATAAAATTTGCCCTTATAAACCCAGCACATTTTTCTTTAGTTCACACTCTGTCTCACAATGGTGGTCTCCTTGGAGGGCTGCACTGAAAACCCTCAGAGACTTTGTCGGGTGCTCAGCCTAAGGTGACTCTTGAAATGCAAGGATGTATAATTCAGTCTCTAAGGATGAGAGACACAAGGAGCTCTAGAAATGTGTTCATGTGACTTAAAACCTGTCAAAATGGGAATGTGGAGTGGGTGCTACATTTGTTGGGGTTATAGAATACAAAGCTTATAGGGCTGGTTGAGATAGCACAGTTGGTAATAGTATGTGTTTAGTATGCAACAGAGCCTTGGTTCAATTCCTAGCACTGTGTAAGGCAGGACATTGTGGTATATGTCTGTAACCCAAACACTTGGGATGTAGAGGAAGGAGAATCAGAAATTCCAGGTTCTCCTCAGATTCAAAGATCAACTAAGGCTGTCTACAATCCTGTCTTTTAAAAAGGCATAGGAAACATATGCCAGCCTAAAGTTTCATGTGTAAAACTCAGTTGTAGCACTGGAAAGATGTCTCGGCTGGTAGAATACCTGCAAGAAAACCATGAGGACGTGAGTTCAATCCCCAGCAACTACATAAAAGCTGGTGTGTAATCCTAGTCCTTAGGTTGAGAAAGAGGATGGAGAGGGGGCATGGAAATAACCATTCATAGACTTAAAATGTTTGTTCTTATTCAATGTGTACAAATGCATTGCATGCCTGGTCTCTGTGGAGGCCAGAAGAGGAGATGGTACCTCCTGGAACTGGAGGTATAGAAAGCTGTTAGCCATCACGTGAGTATTGTGAACTGAACCCAGGTCCTCTGCAAGAGCACCAAGTACTCTTAATTGCTGATCCATCTCTGTGGCCCCCATCTCATGGATTTTTTGTGGTAATTGAATCAACATACTTTAAGTGCTGAAAACAGTGCCTGACCCCCGTCAAGCGTCCACTAAGTGCTTCTAATTCCGTGGCTGTCTCATGTACTCCATCAGCGCTGGTGGCGGAGGCAAAGCAGACTATTTTTATTAATTTCCAGATGCCACGTAGCTCACCCCAGGCCATCAAGATGATAGGGAGACATCAAGATCCTGAACCTCCTAATCCAGAACTTTCGCTGGCCCACATCATTGCCTCTCCTTTCACTTAGAGATTAGCGTAGTTAATGGTTTCTTTAAAACGTTTGTCCTGCCTACAGGAAATGTAGGGATGAAGATGGAGTAGGGATTGAGGGAATGTTCAACCAATGACTGGCCCAACTTGAGACCTACCCCATGAGAGAGAGCCAACTCCTGACACTATTAATGATACTCTGCTATGCTTATAGATGGGAACCTTGCATAAATATCTTCTGAGAGGCTTCATCCAGCAGCTGATGGAAACAGATGTAGAGACCCACAGTCAAAAAATAGGTTGAGTTTGGGGAGTTTTGTGGAAGGATTGAGGGAGCTAGAGGGGTCAAGGATACCACAAGAAGACCTGCAGAGTAAACTAACCTGGGCCCATGGGGGCTCACAGAGACTGAAACACCAACCAAAGAGCTTGCACAGGCTGGACATAGGCTCCCTACACATATGTAGCAGATGTGCAGCTTGGTCATCATGGGGGCCCCTAACAATGGGAGTAGAGGCTGTCTCTGATTCTCTTCCCTGCCTTTGGATCCCTTTCCCCTCTCTGGGCTGCCTTGTCTAGCCTCAGTGGGAGAGGATGCACTTAGTCCTGCTGTGACTTGAGGTGCCAGGGTGGGTTGGTACCCACGGGGCTCCCCCCTTCTCTGAGAAGGAGAGGAGAGATGGGAGGGGAGGATATTAGGGTGGGACTGGGAGGAATGGGGGGGGGAGCTGGAATCAGGCTGCAAAGTGATTACAAACAAAAACACCTTACTCTCTTTGCCTTGACAGAGGCGCTTTACTGTTTTGGGTTTTCCAGTCCCCAACTACTCTACATTCTCTTCAGGAGCTCTTTTTCTTCTTTTCATGCCTGTTCTGAGGTTCTAGAGGATTTGCGTGTTGAAAGCGGCCTCATTCCTGCCTGCCCTTGCCTCAAAATTTCTGCTCTGAATCATTCTGTTTACTACTCAGCCCTGTCACTTGGAAGACCAGCAGTCATCTTAAATTTAATGGTCCCAAACTGAACTCTGGATGCCACCCAGACCTCCTCTCTCCCCAGAGTTCCCTTTATCTATAAGCAGACACTTCCTCCACCTGCTTGCTCAGGACAAACACCTCAGTCTCCTTCCATCCTTTTCCTTCTCTCCTAGACCACACTTATTCCAGCAGCGGCAAATCCTTTCGGTTTCATCTTCCCAGTAGACACTGAAGACAGCCTCTTTCCCTCCATCTACTGCCACCACTCCTGGCCAGCCTGCTTTCACCTAGACTATCAATGTCTCCCTAAGCACGTAGCTTGGCTTCCATTCTGGTGCCTTTAACTTTGAAGGTGTCAGCTCTTCTCTACTCAGAACCATTCGGTGCTCTTCATGCTCTCCTTCATGAAGGAGAGATCGTCCTATTATGCCTTCAAGGGGCTGCACTCTCCTGCATCACATTTTAGGGTGGGCAGCCTTGGCTCGTCTTTGTGGCACCTGTAGGTGGTTGTCTCCCTTTCTCAAGCAGGCTTCTCTTTATCCAACCGTCCCCCTCCCCCAATCCACTCCCATATCCCACCCTGAGCTGTTTGTCCATTTGTGTCCCCCAAGGAGATACATTGAAGTCCTGTCCTGGGTGCCTGGAAATAATCATTTTTACATATAATAATCATTCAGCCTGTTGAGATGAGAACAGATGTCCTCAGATGAGAACAGATGTCTTCAGAGGAGGATTCCCATTGAGAGAGGAAAATGGCACAGAGAGAGATACACAGAGGACAGATGTATGGCAACAAAAGCAGATACTCGATTCACACTGCTTAAGCCAAGTGTCCTAGTCAGGGTCCTTCTTGCTATGACGAAACACCATGATCAAAAGCAACTTGGTGAGAAAGGGGGCCTATGGAGGCATTTTCTTAATTGAGATTCCCTCCTCTCAGATGGTACTAGCTTGTGTCAAGTTGACATAAAAACTAGCCAGGACAATTGACCCGTTGTCAACTTGACACACCAATATAACAAACACTATTTAACAATAAGTAACCTTTTCATTTTTTGTTCACCCTCAAGATCTCATATTAATTAATATCATAATACAAAACATATTACAACCTTAAAGTCCCACAGCCTGTACAAATTTAAACACTTTAAAAGTTTAGTCTCTCTCTCTCCTTTTAAAATACAAATCTCTGTAAAACTCCAAAATCTCTTTAAAATTTCGAAGTCTCTCAACTGCAGGCCCCTGTAAAATAAAAAAATAAATTAAATGCTTTCTTACTTTCAAGAGAGAAGAACCAGCACAGAGTCACAGTCTGAACAAAGCCAAACCAAACCTCAACAGTGTAAACAAATCAGTGTCCAAGATTAGGGATTCACTCACAGTCTCTTAGGCTCCTCCAGAAGGCTCTACCCAGCACATAGCTTGTCATGGCTAGTGCTCCTTCTGTGATCCTGGTGTCCCTGAAGGGTCGGGGGTCTCCTGCTGTAACCGGGCTGCCCTTTCACTGATAGCCTCTCCTGAGCTTCCTTCAGGGACTCCTGGCTTGCATCACCGTGCCAAGCCTCAGCTGCTCCCCCGAGGCCTCCGTGCCTTCAAAGTTAGTACCACCTGGAGGCCCCTACACTACCAAGCCCAGCTGCCGGCACAAAGAACAACCTTGGCTGCCTCTGGAACACAATGATGGAAACCAATGGAGCTGATTTCTTCTTACCCATCACTAATTTCTCAGTTCCAGCTGACCAGCATCAATTTTCAAATAAAGCAAGTTTTACTTCAGAGATGGTTGTTTCTTATGAACCACAGCTGACCAGAACCAATGATTCTTAATTCAAAGCAGCAAATGGCCCTGCTAGTCTTTAAGCTTTCCTTTGAACTTTGTAAGGCAGGCCTCCACCATCCGAACTACTCTCAGCCTTATCTTCCAGGATCCAGCAGAACAGCCCACCGAGCTCTCAACCTCACTGAATGGCTTTTCCAGCCCAAAGTTACAAAGTCCTTCCACAGTTGTCCCCTGCCCCAAAGAACCAGCACGGCCACGTCTGTCCCAGCCATACTCCACAATCCTGGCACCAATTTCCGTCTTAGAGTTTCTATTGTTGTGAAGCAGCACCATGACTGAAAGCAACTTGCGGATAAAAGGGTTTGTTGCATGTACACGTCCAGGTAACAGTTCATCACTGGTAGAATTTGGGGCAGAAACTCAAGCCTGGCAGGAGGCAAGGGCTGGTGCAGAGGCTATGGAGGAATGTTGACTTTCTCAGCCTGCTTCCCATATAGAACACAGGAGGAACAGGCCAGGGGTGGCCATACCCACAATGAGCTCAGCCCTCCCACACTAATCACTAATTAAGAAATGCCCCCTGCTGGATCTTATGGAGGCATTTTCTCTGGGGCAGCAAGGCCCTAATGACACCTCAATTTTAGATTTTTGATCCCCAGAACTGTAAAAGAATAGATTTCCTTTGCTTTAACCCACCTTATTCCTAGTGTAGATTAACTATCCCTAATTGTGGGTGGAGGAGGGGGACAAAAAAAAAAAAAGCTTCCAAATCCAGAACATTGTCATACCCACAAGTGGAAAAAGCCACACCCAACCTCGTGATAGTTCACAGTCAGAATGTGGATGCACAGATATATTGTCTAATGTCACCTTCAGATTACATATGTGTAGAACATACACAAAACATAAGTGGGCTTCATGCTTAGACTCTAGACTTCGAAACTTGATTATGCAAACACTCCAAAAGTCTGGAGAAAATGCTATTCCCAAGAATTTTTGAGAGTGATTGTCAGCTTGTCCTTTGTCACGGCAATTCTAGGAAGCTGAGAAGCTTTGGTTAATAAGGTCCATGATGTTCATCAGTTCCTGAAATTATGTCTTCACTTGTAGGTTGTCTTCATTTGATCATGAAGACCAGGAAGAAAGGACCCTCCCTCTGGACTTTCTTCAACCCTCTGACAGCCGGCTCTTTCTCTGTCTTGATTAGCACTAAATACTGAAGAGAACTTTATCTGTCAAACACTCAGGCCAAGATCCTACATGCTCTGAAACATCTGTTAATTGCACTGTAAGCAAAAATGTATTTAATGATTATTTATTTATATACAGGTTTCTGGCTTACTGTCTTTTTTTTTTTTTTTTTTTTTTTTTGAGGAACAAAATGACATAAGACCTTTCCTGGAGGATCATGGTCACCGTATCATTATCCTTATCTTCTTGGAGACGTAGTTTCCCTCTGTCATGTCTTGATGAATCTTTTTAGTGTTCACAAAATAAACCTGCGTTGAACTGAAGGCTGTATTAGATAAAGGGGATCGTGCAGGGAAATAAAGGCACGTTAACAAATCACTATGCATACCTCAGCACTTGCTCCTGGCATCTATATACATCTGCAGATGATTAAAAAAGTCAATAGATGATTGAAATTTTATGCTTGTAAGTGTGAACATGGCAGTGCAAGAAATTCTGGAGGACAGGTACTGTGGTCAGTGCCTCACTGACTGGGGTCTTGGTATATTTGTTCACTGTTTTCAATCCTTCATTTCATGAGATGGATAGACTATGTGGTCTTCCAGCTCCTTCTCATTATGAAGAAAAATAACACTATTCCTCAAAATGTAGTAATTTTAGAACTGGGCAAGGCAAAATGTCACTGGTTAGGACATATGCCTGCCTCATGGATGCTTGCAGGAAAGGCTCTTTCTCTGAGGCTCTCTGCCAAATGTGATCACAAAACTGACAGGCTCAGGGACGATTAGAGTCATAGCCCCTGCCTGTAGTTGGTGCTGAGCGATGGCACATCCTGACCTGCCAGTCAGAGAGATGTACTGGAGGAGCTTTTTGTATATTCGATGTCATGAGTTGTTCCTGCTTCTACCCCTGTCATCACCCCAGGACTCAAAACAGACAAACAGAAATTCTGATTAGGGTTAGAAAAACAGTAAAATAACTTAATGAGGTAAGTTTACTTTTTGGTAGGTATGTTGAACATTTTGTCCATGGCCTACTCATCGTATATGTCTGTAAGTTTAAAGGCAAACTTCACAGTTTTATCCATTATTAATTACTAAGTATTTGACCTGCATTTCACTTTCTCTGCCTGTCTTATAGATGTTTATTGCTAGTATGAGTTGCGGTTTATTTAGACAGATGGTAATTCATTTAGACAAACGTTTGTTATACTTCACATACTCTGGTCCCTGTTGGCCGAAGTCTGTCTTGAGCCTCTCCAACTGGCATCATGGGTATTCACAAAGTGAACGGACTATTTGAAGTTATTTTGTCTGGCTGTTCTTCTGCCCTATTCAAAAATGATACCAAATACTGCAGTTCCATCTTCGAGCAGTCAAATTCAAGGACGTGCCAGGAACAATTTAACACTGCAGTGTGCAGACTGAGCTCATGCCAGCGTTTCTCTGGGCAAAGGGGAATTGCTCTCTCTCTCTTTGCCGGGTGCTCTGCTTACACCTTACTAAGTCAGGCTCTGTCTTTAAGGAGCCTCATGCCTGGGCCACCACCATCTTGCTATTTCTGCAAAGGTGAGTCTGGTTTTGGTGGTTTTTTGTTTTTGTTTTTTGGTGGTGGTGGAGAGAAGACTGTAGTTTCAGAAGATGGAAGGGATGGGTCAGGACTGAAGAGTAGATCAAATGTAAGCCAGGTTGAGCTGGCTCAAGGGTAGGTTGCATAACAGCAAAAGCTGCTTTTCCACCAAATCTAAGCAAATTCGTGGCAGTAGCTGAGGAATTTTAAGAAAGATGAAAGATGTCACCAGATGAAGAACATACTATGCAAACTCTAATAATTAAGTAAATAATAGAGCAAATAAAATAATCAGCAGTAATATGCATATATGTCATTTCATATAAAAACAATGCGCACACACACACACACACACACACACACACACACGCACATACATGCAATACTAAACCCTGATCCTTCGATTATACATCTACACAGCAGGATGGACCTAGGGCAGGCGCACATCTCAAAAGGCATCTCTAAAGTGATGCGATGGTGGTGAAACGGCTCCTGGAGTAAAAATACAACCCTCCAAGTGTGACAGCTTGAGTTCAGCTCCTGGAATCCACACAGTGCAAGGAGTAAACCCACTCCTGCAGGTTCTCTTTTGATCTTCACATGTCTGCTATAGCATAAACACGTCCAAACATACACAACCACACATACAATAAATGCAATTTAAAAAATTAAGAGATGCAAGGCCCTCTTATGTGGAACAAATATGTGTTTTTTTTTCCCCCCACCCATCCTTCCGTTTATACGGAAAATCCCTTCAGTGTAGTTTTAAATTCCTTTGGGGTTTAGCACAGAAGTTTTTCGTTGTTGTTAAAGAGCTAGGCTAATCTTGCAGGATTTTAGTAAGTTGGTATACAAAAAGCAAAAACAAAACAAACAGAACAGATCTGCCAAGGGGAAGGAGGACACAGCATTTTCCACAAGAATCGCTTTGCTTAGGAGGCGCTGGCTCCCAGGAGCAGAAATCCAGGGCGATGATGCTGCGGTTGGAAGGTGGAAGCGATCCACCGCAGCTGCGCCATCAGGCGGACACGTTGACAAAGGGGGCTGGACCAGGCGCTGGCTGGGGAGGGTGGATTTGATCGCCTATGGTTTTCTGGTAAGGCTAGAGAAGTCCTGATGGGCTTTTAAGCTCAGAGCAACCGCCACCTTCCCAGAGAGCTGTCCAGGGAGGTTGGGATGGAAGGAAGGGGACCCTTCTAGGAGGGGCTAGGCGCACCGTGCCAGAACCGATCTCTAAGGCCAAAGGTTGGAGTTGTTGCTAGAGAAACTCGAGGGCTGTGGGGTCAGAGGCCAGATACCATCCGGCCTAGAGTCACTCACCATCTTCCAGAGCTTCGAGTACCAACAGAAGTCCAAGCAGCAGCCAGACCTTCATCTTCAGCGCTGGTGACCTGCAGAATAGTTTGGGACTGCAGACGGGGCGGCAGGCTGCTCAGGGTAGGGCAGGGGCGCAGAGGGAGGCGGCGCCTGGGACACCACAGCTGGAGGATTCGGTTTCACCAGGGGAAACACAATTTGGGGGAAAAAGTAGGAGATTGTAAAAAAAGAAAAAAAATTCCCCCCCCACCCCGCCCCGTAATATGATCTCTCCTGCCCCCTGGCGGAGTGGTGAAGGATAGCGCTATTACCAAGCTCTGGGAAAACTCAATGAATGACATGCCTCGATTTTCTACAGTTTCGGTGGTTTGAATTAGGTGTACTCTGTTTCTGAAGGCCTAATATGATCCTGATGCTGGAACCACACGAGTCGCTCCATCTGCCCTGGTAGGGCCTTGCTCCTCAGCAAAAAAATTTGCCCCAAATTTCTCTTGGTTCTCAGGGGTTTTCTCCCTTGCACTCAAAAAACAAACACACAAAAACAAACAAACAAACAAACAAAAAAAACAAACACATACACACACAAAACCCAAACAAAAAAAGGGACTAACTATTGTTGTACTCAAAAATATTGGTCGATGAGGCTGCTCCTTTCGAGACGAGATGATCACCTGGATCTGGACCTGTGAACCTGTGAACCTGCAGGTGAACAAACCATCAGAGTGGGGAAGGGCAGGGCTCTCTGCCTGCCATCACAGTCACAGGGGCTCGCAACAGGCCAGCTCCTGCCCCTCTGCTCCACACAGAAGCCTTGCTGCTCTGAACAAGACTTTTTGTTTTTGTTCTCAAAGAAGTTTTATTTATATATATATTTACAATTTATTCATTATATATCCGAATTGAAGCCCCCTCCCTCAATTCCTCTCAGTCGCATCCTCCCTTCCTCTTCCCCTAGTCCACTGAAAAGGGGAGTTCTCTTCCCCTGCCATCTGCCCATAGCTTGTCAAGTCTCATCAGGACTGCCTGGGTCCTCTTCCTCTGTGGCCTGGCAAGGCTGCATCACCAGGGGCGAGTGATCAAAGAGTAGGCAGCAGATTTCATGACAGAGGCAGCCCTTGCTCCCCTTACTCGGTGACCCACATGGAGACTGAGCTGCTGATCGGCTACATCTGAGCAGGTGGTCTAGTAAGGAGGTGTGTAAGAGAGACTGCTCCAAATAATCGTCATCATCGTTATCATCATCATCATCGTCACCATCAGGGGCATGAGCACTTCCTTTTCATTCTCGTTTCAGTCAAAGCCTTTGCAGTTTTACAGGCACATTTTTTTCTTTTCTTTTCTTTTTTTAATTCCTTTGCTTGAGTGTGTTTTGACAATGCTACTATTTATTTTTCAGATAATTTAAACAAATATTTAAGGAATTCCATTTTTCAATAACTTATTTCATGGCTTCTTCCTAGGAAGGGCTTCATGTCCCCAAATTATCAAACTTCCACGTATTTTTTTCATCTAAAACCTTAGTAATTTTGTTGCTTATGTTTGATCTACATTGAAATCAGATTTCTAAACTGTCATTTGGGAAATTAGTTACCCAAATGACAGATTAGAAATCTGTTTTCCATATTTCTATATTTCAGATGGTCATAGCTATCTCATATATATATATATATATATATATATATATATATATATATGTATAAATAGATGATCTTTTTGAATTTGCTTAGCAATGTTTCTGACAGATGAAGATGGTTCTGTTTCTCTCCTAGCTCCTTTTATTCATCTGTGCCTATGGAGATCCTGCACTACACTTTTTGTGATTCATTTATAACACACTTTGCTCTTCCCATGGAGGAGGGATATGTCTCATCATTGTTTCTCTGCTGATTTTCTACATCTGCTTTCTCTTCCAGGTAAATCTAAAATCAGCTTGTCACTCTCCATATAGACATCACTGCATTTTAATAATGAATGCCCTAAACCTACATATTGGAGGAAAAGAAAGCGTTTCCACAATGCTGAGTCTTCCCACACAGGAATTTCTTAATGTTATATATCTTTCCATTTACCCAGGTCCACTTTTACATCCTCATTACATTTTCTGAGTGGTCAAGGCTGGAACTTAGAATATAATTTTGGAAATCTGAGCTCCTAGATTATTTTATACTTTGGCTAATTTTGGACTGGCTAAATATGCGGTGTGTGTGTTAGAGAATGTATATGCACATATGTTCATAGACATGTAAACTCTTATGTAGGTGGGTAGTTACATGCCCCCCCCCCCGTAAGTCCTGCATGCTGTTATGCTTACCTCTTCGTTTTGCTTCTTTTTTCTGTTAATGCCGGCACATTTCTTCTCATTATACTTTCAAATTGTTTAAAACAACATTGGAACTCTGTTTTCCCAGGCCTGTCTTAGCTCACATGAACTTGGTCAATTATAGGCATTCAAACTCATCCCAGGTTGTTTATAGGCTGATTGTGTCCCTCCCCAAATCTGCACTTGAAATCACTCAGCGCCTGGGAATGTGGCTGTGTTTGGAGACTGGGTCTTTAACAAGGTAGTTAAATGAAAATGAGGTCATTGGGTTGGGCCTCAATCCAGTATTTCTGGTAAGAACCTGAGTAGATTTGGACTCGGACACAGGCATATAGGGATGACATGTGAAGACAGAGAGGGAAAGGTGGAGTGTAATAGGCAAAGAGAGGCCTCAGAGGAAACCAGTTCTGTCGGTATCTTGGTCTTGCACATCCACATTCCAGAACCAGCAGAAAATAGATTTCTGTTTTGTAAGTGACCCAGTCTGTGGTGCCCTGTGTTGGCAGTCCTAGAAAACCTGCCCAGGGGTCTGTCTTAGGATGGAACCAGGGTTACAAAAGTAAATGCTTCTTTTAAAAGGCATGTAGCTGCCTAACCACAGGCTTATTAACCTTGAATGACATCATCTCAACACAATCTTGAACCTGAGCAGCAAAACTACCCATGTTGTATTTTCAGTGGGTTTTATCTCCCCATTAAAAGCCCATGTATTTTGTCTCTAGACCGGGAAAGAATTTCATTTTTCTGTGTTGCTCTATTCCATTATCTTTCCAACACTTGCTGCAATGTTAACCAATGAAAGTACATTTTATCCTATGCCCCGAAGTCAAACACAGCTTGGAGCCTGGCTCCCTATAATCTGATTAATTTTGTCTGTTTATCTTCTATCTGCCCACATAAGTGAATTTACATTGCTAAGTTTTCAAATTCTTGGATTTTAGGCAAGTGATTTCATTACCAGTGACACCCACCTTTTTTTTATTGATCGTTTCTTGCCTGTTCTCTCTACCTCGCACTAGATTTCCCACCGATTCTCTGAATCCATCAGATGAACAACCGGGTGACCACACCTCACACTTCTCTGGGACATACCTCACTCCTCACACCTCTCAGGAACAAGCTCCTCCCCTTTGTGAATATGGCACAGCCTCCCCTCCCTCCACTTCTGACAGTTCTCTCCATGTCTCTCCTTTCCTCCAAATCCACTCCTCCTCCATTTCCCTTGGGAAAGAGCAGGCCTCCCAGGGATATTAACCAAACTGGGCATAACACGTTACAGAAGACTGGGCACAAACCCTCATATCAAGGCTGGACAAGGCAACCCAGTAGGAGGAAAAGGGTCCCAAGATCAGGCAAAAGAGTTAGAGACGCCACTACTTTCCCTGTTAGGAGTCCCACAAACAACCTGAGCTAAGCAACCTCAGTGTGTTCTGGTGGTGTCTTCGACCCCTCTGACTCCTACAGTCCTTTCTGCATGGTTCCCCAAGCTCCGCCTGATGTTTCAGTGCTCCCATCAGCTGCCCGGGAAAGCCTCTCTGATAGCTACTGGGAATAGACCAGGTTCTTGTATGGGCTTAACAAATGGAGAGCTAGAGAGGAAGGAGTAGAAGGGCAGAGGAACAAGCAGCCACCAGGAAGAGTAGGGAGAAAGAACAGGTTCCTGTGGTAGAGGGAGCTGTAAGTGTGGGCGTAAGTCCAGAAAGGCATATTTCTTCCAAGAACAGCCCCCCCCCCCCAGAGTACACTGGTGGGAAATGTGCACCCAGTGGAGAGGAAGCATTAGCATCAGCAGTGTTAGGTTATCAAAGGTCATAGTGAAATCTCGGGCCTTTCCTGATAATGCTTTTTTGCCTATGGATTGTTTCTACATAGTATTTTAATTATACTTCTTAATGTTTTCTATGACTAAAATTGTCACTGCTTCTTTAAAGTAGTGCACACTATTAAAATGTGCTTAGGCAAACTTTTTTTTTTAAATCTAACTTTTGGGTATCCCTTCCCTATTCCCTAAATAAGGACAAACAGGTCTTTCATCTAAATAGAATCAAGATGAATGCTTGAAAAAATTTACAAAATGATTCTTACAAAAATACTTTTTAAAGCCAGATAGTTTTTGCTCATTTGAGGTCTTTCTACATTGCTCTTGCTGTCCTTTAAATCACTATGTAGGGGGCCTCAAACTCACAGAGATACACCTGCCTCTGCATGCCAAGTGCTGGAACTAAAGATGGGTGTCACCATGCCTGGCAAAACAGACATTTTTGACATTCGAAAGCTAGTCATTGATGGTAACATAGGATAAGACAAAGATCCCAGCTACATTAATTCCTTGAGGCTAAAGCAATGGCCTTCTCAGCTCTGGGTTGTATTCCGTTATAAAGATGTATCATCTGCTGTCCACTTGCAGTAAGAGCCTTATGATGGAAGGGAAAGCAAAAACAACAGGTAGGAACTTCTGATCATAGACTGCCTGCTTCTCTTACCTTTGCCCCCACAGTTTCATTGACTTACTTTCTCCTGCTTGTCTGAAGAGTGCGTCTTACCAATCATTTATACTCTGGTGCCAATTTAATACAACACAGAAACGTTTGTCGTTCAAGGCTGATTTCTGTTGTGCAGTGAAAGCCTTTGTCCGTACATGTGAGCAGATGGGGGAATAATCTGGCATCTTTGAGAAGCAACAATTAGAGAAATTTAGGGTCTTGAATCATGACAATTTTTTTCAATTTGGAGCACGAGGTAGCCCAGGGTTTGCCTGGACAATGTCTTTCTCTTTCATCTTGTCTTTCTCTTCCAGTTGACCGCCCCTGTCTTAAGTGTAGCAAAATGTTTAGATAAGTTAAAAAAAAATTGACACAGGGTCTCTATAA